GATGGAATGTTTAGGAGTAGAATTACCACCAAGAAGCATGAGGAGTTGATCATACTGCACTTTAGAAAGTCCTGCAATTGGTGACTGATCCAGTGAACCTCCTGCCATCTGTGACTCATGTGATGTATTGGCTGCAAAAATCAACTCTTTCTCCTGATGTTGATGCTTTTGGTGCTCCCCCTTTCCCTTCATTTTGGCTGGCCCTATCTTCCAACCAACTGGGTATCCAATGATTTCATAGCATCTCTCTTTAGTATGACCAACCTTCTTGCAATGATCACAGCGTGGCTTCCCTGACATGGAAGATTTCCCAGTGTGGTTCATCTTTGCTGCCAAGGCCGTTGCTTCTATAATTGGACTTCTAGATGCAGCCACTGCTTGTTGCTTCTCCTCTTTGGTAGTCATTGCATACACCTTATTTAGTGATGGGAGGGGTTCTGTGCTTAAGATCTGTGATTGAACAGTTGAAAAATTCTCATTCAGTCCCATGAGAAATTGATGGACTTTCTCTGTTTCTCGTGCCTTCATATACTCCTTTGCTGCACCACATGTACAACCACAAGTGCATGTCGGCACTGGCTCATTTGCTTGTAGTTCATCCCATATAGGCTTCAATTTTGTGAAATATGTTGTTACTGATCTTGACTGTTGTGTGGTGGTTGCAAGTTCGAGTTTTAATTCATGTACCCGAGATGCATTTCCTTGTGAGAAGCGTTCATGTAAGTCATTCCAAACCTCAGCAGCACTCTCCACATAGGCCACACTTCCCTGCAAGTCCCTAGAGAGAGCATTAAGTAACCATGAAAGCACCATAGAATTGCACTTTGTCCAAGCCTGATACTCTAGGGAATCTGCGTTTGGTCTCTTAAGGCTCTCATCAACAAACCCCATCTTGTTCTTTGCAAATAAGGCATTCTGCATACTCCTTCTCCACGTGTGGTAATTCTCCCTAGTCAAGGGAGTCGTGACTAAAACCCTCCCTGGATCATCACTGGAATGGAGAAAATAGGGTGAATCCGGATCTGTTGTCTTAAGGATACCTATCTCTCTCTTTTCCATTTTGGATTCATTCTTGGCTGTAGTGTCAGTCATTGTCGATTGTTGAATGCAGCAAAACCTTGCCGTCGAAATCGATTGTTTGCAGCAAACTCTTGCTGTCGATTGAACCTTCACTGCTCTGATACCATGATAAAATAAGAATATGAATGGCAATGATATGCGAATGAAAAACTTGTTATTCTCATTGTGATTGCAATATACATATATACAAA